TTCAGTGCATGAAACGAAGAAACTCCGTGTTTTGTATGACAAGATTGAGATAAACATTTGAAGTTTGAAGGCACTAGGCGTCGAATCAGAGTCCTTTGGAAATTTATTAGTTCCAGTTGTAATGGAGAAAATTCCTTCTGAGTTGAGATTAATCATCAGTCCCAAGTTTGGCAGTAAAGAGACTTGGGACCTTGATGTCCTGTTAAATGCACTGAAATCTGAGTTGGAGGCAAGAGAAAGGTGTAACGCAGTGAAAACAAGTAGTCTAACCAATTCTAACCCTAGATTTGACCAGCATAAGGGAAGATTCAAACAGCCCCTTTCCTCATCTGCACTTTATGCGGGCAGTGAAGAGTGTACTCTGCAATGTGTCTTTTGCAAGAAAAATCACAAGTCCATCACCTGTAGTACCATTACTGAACCAAAGGCTAGAAGAACTATACTGAGACGAAGTGGCAGGTGTTTTGTTTGCTTGAAAGCAGGGCATATTACACCAGGTTGTCAGTCAAAGGCCAAATGTTTTAATTGTGGAGCTAGACATCATGTGACTATCTGTGAAAACCCTAAGAAGCCTGTCCAACCTAGTAGTTCAGGAGCTGAATTAGCATCACTTAGTAGATCTGAAACTTCCCAGGAGAGATCCAGAGATGTTGGAACATCAACAATGCATGTTGGCAGCAATAATAACTCTATACTGTTGCAGACTGCCCAAGCCTTTGTTTCTAGACCAGATAATCAAGAAACTGGAATGTATACTCAAGTCATTTTTGACTCTTGTAGCCAGAGATCTTATATAACCAGTAAGACACGTGAGCAGTTAAAATTACCTACTGTTGGTAAGGAAACCTTGCTAATCAAAACATTTGGTGACAATTCAGCATCTGTAAAGGAATGTGACATTGTGCAATTGTGCATCAGAACAATAGATGCAATGAGTGTGTACGTCACTGCTTACGTTGTACCAGTAATATGCAGTCCAGTATCGAACCAAGAAATTCAAAGTGCAGTAGAATGCTATCCATACCTTCAAGGGCTACAGCTTGCATGTGGAGCTGTTAATGGAACAGTTAGTGTTGACTTACTAATAGGAGCAGATCACTACTGGTCTTTCTTTACTGGAGGAATAATCAAGGGAGATCCTTCTGGACCTGTAGCTCTTGAGACCAAGTTGGGATGGGTACTGTCAGGACCAGCTGCAGTTCCAGCATTGACAGAGTCATGCACAGTTAACCTAAGTGCTACACATGTTTTGAAAATTGAGTCAGCTGACATCAGCCATGTGCAAGATGATTTGCAGAAATTTTGGGACTTGGAAACCTTAGGCATAAGGGACACTGAAACTTCAGTTCATGACAAGTTTTCAAATGAGATAAGATTCACTGGTGAAAGATACCAAGTCAAGCTACCATTCAAGGATAATCACCCTATGCTGTCAGATAATTATACAAATGCATCACGAAGGTTGGCAACTGTGATTAAGAAGCTTAAGACCCAACCAGAAATACTGGAACAATATGATCAAGTGATTAAGGAGCAATTAGAAAGTGGAGTAGTTGAAGAAGTGCGGCAAGATCAAGTCCTAGAACCTGGAAATGTGCACTATCTCCCACACAGGGGAGTTGTGAGACTTGACAGAGATACAACAAAGGTTAGAGTTGTATACGATGCCTCATCCAAGGTGTTTGGACCAAGCTTAAATGACTGTCTGCATGTCGGACCTTCATTAAATCCTCTTCTACTGGACATTTTGCTGAGATTTAGAGTTCATGAAGTTGCTGTAACTGCTGATATTGAGAAAGCATTTTTGAATATTGAGATTGATCCAGAACACAGAGACTTTTTACGCTTTCTATGGGTAGATGATGTCGATAAGGAATCACCTGAGATTAAGTTACTTCGCTTTACAAGAGTTGTATTTGGAGTGAATGCTAGCCCCTTCATTCTCAATGCTACTATCAGACACCATGTTAATACATGTATGCTGAATGACAATGCATTTGCACTTGAGCTTTTGAAGTCTTTGTATGTAGATGACTTCGTTTCTGGGGCCAAGGATGTGAACAATGCCTTTTCTTTGTCGAAGGAGATAAAACTCTGTCTCAAATCAGGAGGGTTCAATATGAGGAAGTGGAACAGCAACTCAGCAAGTCTTTTGCAATCCCTGAAACAAGATTCAGCCTTCGTTGGAGACTTTGCTATAAACAGTAAAGAATGTGTTCAAGAGGAAGATGAGAGCTTCTCAAAGTCAGTTTTTAAGCAAGGTACTGAGAAAGAGCAGAAGGTCTTGGGAATGCTTTGGAACCCTAAACAAGATGAACTGATCTATGACTTGAATAAGATATTGGAGGGTGTGGACGTTCAGCCAGCTACAAGGAGACTGATTCTCAGTACTGCTACGAGATTCTTTGATCCCTTGGGGTTAATATCCCCAGTTATTCTACCCTTCAAGATTATGTTTCAAAAACTGTGCAAGGCACAAAGGGACTGGGACGAGTTAGTGGATACCGAACTCAACCAAGAGTGGTTGTCAACTTTGTCAGACCTAAGACTAGCTGGAAGAGTGAGTTTTAAAAGGTGTTATGCAGAAGGTCTCGGTGGGAATGAAGTTAAATCGCTCCAACTTCATTGTTTTGCAGACGCGTCGGAAAAGGCGTACGGAACCGTTGTTTACATGAGAGTAGAATGTGAGGTTGTGGCGTCAAAAACCCGAGTAGCTCCGTTGGATAAGCAAACCATACCGCGTCTAGAACTGTTGTCTAACCTTACTGCGTCAAGATTGGTGAAGAGTGTGAGTCAAGCTTTAGAAAACGTTGTGAGAGTTGATGACGTAGTCAATTGGACGGATTCTATGATTTGTTTGTGGTGGATTAGGAACACTGATAAGGAATACAGGCAATTTGTGGAGAATCGCGTGAGCGAAATCAGACGAAATGCACCGCCTGAGCAATGGAGGTACTGTCCTACGTCAGAAAACCCGGCTGACATTGCATCAAGAGGAATTAAGGCCACTGCACTCAAAGAAAGTAGTTTGTGGTTACATGGTCCAGAATTCCTGTCTAAGGAAAGTGCCTACTGGCCAGTCCAGCCTGGAAAGGTGCAAGCCAAGGAAGAGTTCTGCGAACTGAAATCAGCCAAACCTACAGTCTCCAGCTTATTGAACACGTGTACCGAAAAACAAGAAGCAAATCTGGAGAGTATCATCAATCCTGAATCCTACAGTTCCCTTACGAAGCTCATAAGGGTTACTTCACTTGTGTTGCTATTTGTCAAGAATTTGAAAAGAAGAAGGGAGGGATCAAGTGATCAAGAAGAATCCTTGCAAGTGTACAAGCAAGCTGAGAAGAAGTGGATTAAACACGTTCAAAAGGGTCTCCTGGACAGTGACAAGTACCAGCAAATGAAGTCGACTCTGGGACTTTATCAGGACAGTGAAGGTGTAGTCAGATGTGAAGGAAGAATAGGTCTGTCGTCGTTACCCTATGATACCTAATTTCCTGTGCCTGCCTAGAGAACATTGCTTTACGAGATTGGTGATCCTCAAGTGTCATTAACAAGTTATGCACAATGCAGAACAGAAACACTGATTTCCCTATTACCTTCGTGGGAAATGCTGAACAGGAACATGTTAGTGAACATTAACATTAAGTCAAAGAACAGCAAACTCTTTTTCTTTCATTTGTTATTTTATTCGTTTCGTTGTTGATTGACCTGTGTCAATCAAGGCGGGGAGTGTGTTAGAAATTATTGCGTCATTGTGGCGGGAAAACTCGTCACGTGATCTGAAAACTGAGCTTTTTGCAAGAGTCTTAGAACTGTGTAGTCGTTCGGAGTCGTGGAGCTGATCGAGTGTGTGGATTGAGTGTAGATCATCGAATTTTTACGTGAATTGATGTCGATGAATCCTTTAAGTGTAGAACAGAGTACAGAATTCTAAAATATGAACATGTGAAGAAATAAGCTTTAATGGAGTGAAGAATTAAAACTACAGAGAACTGATTATATATACAACATTTGGTTACAGAGGGGTATGAAACAGCGAGTCGAACAGTTGTACACAGTCAGTGTTTATATTAGAAACATACAGTGTGCGAATAATTATTTTTGAGGTATTACTGTCTACCCATTGTAATTTTAAATAGCTTTCAAGGCTCGTTGATTGATTAAAATCTTTGGGCATTCATTGTTTGCATTATGTTTGTGTTAATTTACATTAGCCCACCTCTTTACTAAAACTTGTGCATCAACTAATATGAACAACCTTGGGGCAGCACTTCAATTCTGGTATGGAAACTCTAGTAGTATCTAGTAGTATGGATTATCTGATGATTTAAATGGTTCTTGAAGGGTGTCTGGGAAGGCTATTTTTCGGGGCACGCACGTAGTAGTAGCGGCAGGCCTTGGAATACTGCTAACAAACAGCCCAAGTTGAGATTTCATGTCAGAAATAGGCCTTGCATGTACAGGCAGCAATGAAGCAAGTGGACAAATTAAGTAAGAGTAATGCTTAATTTTATTGTTTCTACCGAAGCGTTTATTTTTTCAGATCTGACTCACTGACTCATGACTCGTTGACTCATTTGACTCATAAAACATCCGTTCTCATAAAATACAACGGAAGAAAATTGTTTATTGTCAATATGATACTCATGTATTTTAAATTTTTTCAGATATTTAGATATTACAGCTAAATAAAAAGACAGATACTTGTTTGTTATCAATCTGATACACTTTTGACTATATTAGACATGTTTTATTCTTACAATTGAATTGAATGTTCAGTCATTTCGTTGAGCAAATCTTACTAAAACCTTCCCGCCATTTTGGTTTGCCTCCTGCGCCACGATCCAATAAAACCACAAACTTCCGTCCAGCGGCTTGCGCATACTCGCAACGTTACCACTTGCTGTTACTAAAACCTATCGCGTGACATACGAGGCCTATTTGAAATTCATGATGAATGCATGATTAAGACCGTGACATGTTTTATGTAGATCTTAATAATGGAGGACAGAGAGGAAATTTGGAGGAGGGCTTCAACCAACGTTCTCGTTGCTCCTGTAGAAAATTTCAGACAAATTCGACAGCAGTATCCTGGAGAGATGTCTGGACACATAGCTGATGATGAAAATTTACAGTATCATGACGATCTAGATGAACCCAATGGCTATGGCTTTGATGATAAAATTATAGCGAGAGGAAAACACCATTCAGCCGCTGAACTCCAAAAAGGATTGACGGTTTTCACAGCCGCAGTTTTCATCATCGGTGAAATGGCTGGCAGTGGAGTCTTAGCCCTACCAGCTGCCATCGTAGGAGCGGGTTGGACGGGATTCGGTTTGCTCATTCTTTGTTGCTTTGCTTCGGGCTATTGTGGTACGGTGCTTGGAAGATCCTGGGCGATTCTTCGGGAAAGACATGATGAGTATAAAGGCCATGTACGGTATCCTTACCCAGCTATCGGAGAGAAGGCTTATGGAAGATGGGCTTCCTTAGCTGTAACCATTTGCATCAACATCACACTGATAGGTCAGTGAGTTGAAATATCGTGATTGTATACTAAAGTCTTGATGCAATCATAAACACGCATTGTCATTTTGATGTATTAAATTGTAGAAGGTTTTCAAACTTCTCGGTGTTCAAATTTTCCTTTGATCGTTAGACCCAGGCACTAAGGTACTAACTGTTAAATGAAATTAAAGGTAAAAAAATGTATGATAAGTAAGATTTTGTGGCAATTGTCTACTTCTTTTGAGCCACATGTAAGACTCACGAACATTCTACTCGAACTGAATTGTCACGCGCTCTATATCGGTAGGGTCCCTATCGGCAGAAAAAAAAACAAAACAGTTAGATCATTAAGGTTTAGTCTTTAAATTTCCTATCACAAGATGTGAAAACGTCGACCACAATCAGGAGTAGAGACTGACTGTTATTTCCTCAAAGAGGAAGTTAATTTGATCGCGCCTGTCTGCACGCGAGATTACGAAATTGTAAATATAGTCTTGTGACCAAAATTAGCCTTTTTTTATCATAACTATAACAAAATTGTCAAATTTGATTGGCTATCAACTGCCCTGATTTCAGTCTCAATTGGACAGTTTAATAGGACAGTACGCTTCATGCCTAAGTAATTGGACAGTACGCGCCATCAAGCGCGCTTAAATGGCTTATTTTTTTCACCGCCAACAAAATTTCGAAAATCTTATTTTTGTAGCCTATTATATCACAAATGTTTTTAAAGTTATGATTAATTGGTAACAGAACTTCGTGTCGTCCAATTCGGTCTGTAATCATACTCGTGATTAAACAAATCGGACTCCCGCTACGCGGTCGTCCGATTTTATTTTCACTCGTATGATTACAGACTGAATTGGACTCTACTCAGTCTTGTTACCATTACTTAATAGAACAATTTAATAGGACAGTACGCGATTAGATGGCTTTTTTTCCCCGCTAGCAAAAAACAAAACAAAAAACAATGGAATTTCTTCTGTTTTGATGTAGAAAAAAAGAGCCTTATATAACACAATTTTTTTTCTTATGTTACCGTTACTAATAGTGGAACGATTTTTTTTACATTTCCTTGTCAGTCCTGTACATGTACAAAAAAGTTGCATTGAAAACCCCAAATTACACGCAAGAGTAGTTGGCTCAAATTAGCTGAATTCATTATTATTATTATTATTATTATTATGTAAAATTTAGCACAGGGATTTTCCCTGGGGAGAAATATCCAGTCAAGTCTCATCCCGAGACCTCAGACTTCCAGCACTTTTCTGAGGATATGTGCCGATCCGAGGAGTGCCGACTTTTGCATCGTTCTTGTTCGGTTCTTAATTCCTAGTTGCTCCAAGTGGCCTGCCAGCTTCTTTGACACTGAACCCAATGCACCTACAACCACTGGCACCACTTTTGTCCTTGATTTCCAGATCCTTTGAATCTCTCTTGCCAGGTCTTGGTACTTTTCACACTTTTCAGTTTCTTTCTGCAGAATATTACTATCTCCGGGAACAGCTATGTCCACAATGATTGTTTCCTTTGCCTTCTTTTTCTGAATTGCAATGTCTGGCCTCCTGTGATGGATTTCACGGTCTGTTTGGATGGTAAAGTCCCACAACAGTTTAACCTCCTCATTCTCTTCTACGCTTTTGGGGGAATGCTCATACCATTTGTCACTGCACCCAACTCCATATTCCTTGCACACCTCCCAATGGATGACCCGCCCAACAACATCATGCCTCTTTTTATATTCTGTCTGCGCAAGCTTGGGGCAACTACACAAAATATGCTGCACAGTTCCATCGTGGCTACCACACATTCTGCATTTGGATGATACATTTTGGTTTTCGATTCTGGCTTTTACGGCGTTTGTTTCTGGCTTTTACGGCGTTTGTTATTATTATTATTATTATTATTATTATTATTATTATTATTATTATTTATTATCATTATTTTTCTGTAATTAATTAGCTCAAGGTTTTGCCTTATTTATTTTATTGTATAGCCCCATTGGCCTAGCCTCCCACGCAGGCGTTTTTAGGGGAGCTCGTTTTTTATCCCTCAAAAAGAAGCTCCCCTAAAAACGCCTGCGTGGGAGGCTACATTGATCCATATGGGAAATGGTGTTTATCAAATTATTTCCTATTTATTATTATTATTATTATTATTATTATTATTATTATTATCATCATTGTTATTACCATTATCATTATTGTTATTATTGTCATCATCATTATTGAAAATAGATTCTAAGTGGCACGCATACTTTTAGAATTTCCCAGTGCAGAGGACACTTACATCCACCTACATGCATGGTGAGCCATTAATGAAAGTTCCACATTTCTTCCTAAGGTGTCTGCGTGGTATTTATGATCCTGGCTGCTGGAAACTTGTCAAATCTCATTGAACTGCCCGTTGACCACGCTGATAAAACAGGTGTGTTGCGGATTTGGCTTGTTATCTGCTTCGCAGTTCTTCTTCCTTGCTCCTGGCTTGGCACGCCCAAAGAATTCTGGGGGATAGCGGTGGGCGCTAGTTTGGCAACTGCCGTGGCGTGTTTAATGATCTGTGTGTGCATCGGTTTGGATATGCCAACCGACCTGAATAGTGTGCAACAACCGACTGTTAACTTCACCAGCTTCTTTGGAGGTGTGTTAATGAAAACAAATAATTGCTATATTTTATTAAAGTTTAAGATATAGTTGCCGTTTTTTCAGTGCTGGAAAGCCACCTGATTAGCTCAGTTGGGAGAGCGCCGGTCTGCTGAGCGCGGGGAGGTCGTGGGTACAAACCCCCCACCAGACCAATACTCAGGGTCTTTAAATAACTCAGAACGGTTAGACTTTCTATTCTTCTCACATAAGGACGAAAAACCGTGGGTCACATCTCACAGCACTTTCACTGATCTGGCTGTTGTGGTACGTAAAAGAGCCCTCATCACTGTTCGAAAAGAGTATGGGACGTAGACCCTGGTGGTGTGGCTAACCTTTCCGAGTGGGTTATCTGTAAGGAGGGATCTTAATATAGGGATAACCTCATGATCGTCCTTCCGATGTCGAAATGGCTATCTGTAAACTTTGTTTGTAAACGTTACAGTCAAGAAGACTTTTGCAGGGACCGGAAACATGGTTAGGAACTGTGTAGCGCTGATAAGTTGATTACAATTAAAATTTGTCTTTGTGTTCTTAGCGCTAAAATGTTTGAAAATCCAGACGTTTCGGGACTACTGTCCCTTCATCAGTGGAAGATGCCGTTACACTGAACACGCGTCATTTTATTCAAATGTGGCAACATTTGAAGCGCGCGCTGGAAGAGTTCGCTCAAATAAAATTGAAGTCAATGTTTATGCCGCGCGGCTGTAGAGTTTTGCATTAAAAAATTAGGCGGCCCTCCGCAGGGACTTCTTGCAGGGACTGATCAAACAACATTCTTCTTGACAGTCACGTTTTCAATTTGACAATCTTGACTGATCACGATCTCTTTGGATCCGACGTTAAGCAGGACTGATCGTACACGGTTTTTGCAGTGGTTTTTTTGTACCTTAATTTTGCATTTTGTTTTTAAGTTGTCTTCAAGTCCACAGCTTAACATAGAGGGAAGAAGGGGTGGCGCCGTGGTGTGTATGAGCACTCGCCTGCCACCAATGTCGTCTGGGTTCAAATCTTAGTGTCGACGCCATACATGTATGTGGGTTGAGTTTCGGTTGTCGGTTCTCGCCTTGTTCCGAAAGGTTTTTCTCCGGATGCTCTGATTCAGTTGCACTCCCCTCGAAAATCAGTGCTTCTAAATTTCAATTTGATCTGAAACGCACGGACACGTTTAAACGAGTTGTTAATAACTCCTTACTCTCCTTAGTGCTTTGTGGGTAATTAACGCTCAGTTCAAACGTCGACTTTTTCCTGATGTACCGAACTTTTAAAATACCTATTTGGGCCGACCCAAATGATACAAGTTCGACGGTTGATTCAGACTTTGACTGGACTCAATTCATTTTAACGATATTCAGTGGTCTAGACTGCTTACAAGAGCAATTTATGCATTAGGTTCGGCGCACGAGAAGTTCAATGTTTGAAAAGAAGTCGCTACACAGTCGAAATTCCCGTGTAGGCCACTCGATCTTAATTCATGGGTCGACCCAAATTAGATATGTCGGACTTTATTGATTCAAACGTCGATCTCTTCATGCAATCAATTAAAGGGATTAGGTTCTGTACATGAAAAGATCGACGTTTAAACTGTCCTAACGCCCCATGCAAACGGACGCAACATTGTTGGCCAACAACTCCCAACATTGTTGGATGTTACATGTTGCGTCCGTTTGCACACCCTGTTGCATGTTGTTGGATGTTGTTGCGCAAAGTTTGAAACCGGTCAAACTTTTCAGCCAACAACTCCCAACATTTCTTTTGTTCCGTGATCGCCGAAGCGTAGCGCAACAATGTTGGTACCGTTTCCACAGCTCTTTCAACATTGTTAGGGCCACGAACGCTCATTACGCATGGCTTACAAAGACTTATGGGTTGTATCCTTCCCACGATGCACTGCAGGTCCCAACATTGTTGGGAGTTGTTGCATCCGTTTGCACACCACTGCCAACACGCATGCAACAACTCCCAACATTGTTGGCGCAACAATGTTGGGAGTTGTTGCGTCCGTTTGCACGCAGCCTAAGTTACAATTTACAATTACAAAGCAATAACCAAACTTATGTCTTTCATGATCATTTCGAATCAACTTTATATCAAAATTATCTCTTGCCAAGTTGGTTCAACAAAGTAGGAAGGCTGTTAATTAAGGCGCGGAAAGCTTTGTTCCATTGGCTTAATATGAGGCTATAAAACACGCTGGAGTAATGTTTTCACCGTTTTTTCCTTTGCAGTCTTCTTCAAAAAGTCTTTTCATGCTCTTCATTATTCATATTAATAATTTTCACTTATAATTATGGGTACGGAACAATTTTATTATCCCCAACATTGACAATTTTCGATTACTAGTCTCTTCACTTTTCATGAAAAAATTTAAAAGTGTTGACGCTATTCATTACTACAAGAACTTGATAATCATGCGGTTAAAAAATGAGATTATATCAGCGCACGGGCTAACCAAAGCAAGAAAGCACAACCTTTCCAATTTTCAGTTTCCTGCTGCGAAAAAAACGACTTTACGCAAATAATGTTCTACAAATCTGTTTTCTTTTTACGACTTTTTTTATTCGAGTTTGTGCGGCATTGCCTTGATTGTTTACTTAACCTCTCCAGTTCTTCCTCTAGTTCAATCTCACGCTGAAATCTGCATTCAAAGAGAACAGAAAAACGGAATACATGATTTGATTTTGTTTACTCACAGAATGCTTTTCTTTCCATAAAAGACAGATCTGACTGAATTTTTAGACTAGACTGCTAACACAACTCTGATTGTTGAGCAGGGAAACTATAAACCAGGCGCTTTGTCTGTCCACAATAGACCTTTCCACGGTTATTTCAACTCCGTTTGAAATGGACAAGGTAGGCCGCAATTCCACCAACTCCGCTGGAAAGAGCGCCTTTAAATTAGTAAAACTGCCGAGTTTTGAAGTGATCTGTTGAAAACTAACAAAGATATAGCCTCTGAATTCGCGAAATTTTACAAAAGTTTGCGTATGGTGGGTACAAACGTTTGAAAATTTTCGCAACTTTGAGGAGCGATTTTTTCACTCGCTTAAGACGTATCACTTTCAAATTTGGCGATGTTACTACTTTTAAGGTGCTTTTTTCAGTGGTGTCGACGGATTTTCCCTGACTGGTCCATGTGAAAAGTTCAAAAGACCGTAGGAAGGTCTATTAAAACCTCCGAAGTTTGTTCATAATTACTTACTGAGGTTCTGGTATCACTTGATTGCACCGCTAGGTCTAAGAGCAACATGGTAAAGATCAACGGCCCAGTTGTTCGAAGGCCGATTAGCGCTAACGCAGGGTTAAATTTTAACCCAGGTTTCTTTTTCTGTCGTCCAAAAGCATTTTCTCGGATAATTTTCTCTCTCTTCTTTTTGGAGCATCCCATCATCAAATTGTAGGCAAAAAGAATGAAACTGAACACATGCTGAATTTGCTTCTCAAGCTTTCATTTCTGAAATCAAATTTCGCACTAACCCTGGGTTAACTTAACCCTGCTTTGAACATCCCGGCCCAGGGGGGTTTAATGAACTGTGCAATATTTATCATGAGGAGGGTTCTTAAATAAGCGGAACAGGGCTAAAAAAAAATACATAAAAAATAACTTTATATTCCTTGTCTTTTAACGCTAAGAAATTCATTTTAACACGCATTGGGTGCAGAAGCAGAAGCAACACACTGAATTTGAAAATAAGCTACTGCCAAATTTGAAAACAGCTGCAAAGAGAGTGCTGGAGGCAACTCTGGTTTGATGACAAAAATCTTTATTATAGTAAGAAACCGATAGGCTGTACAGTACTCCTACGTTGCCACCTCACGTATCCGGATAGTTTGAACTGAAATGGTTCGAAAAAAACGTACGCGTTTAAACGTAGGTTGTTTGAATTGTTTTCGCCCGTCCATACCATAACGGTAAAACGATGGAAATACAATAGCCTACGTTTTCGTCCGTCCACTCGATCCCTCCAAGCCGGCATTTTTTTAAAAAACTTCACTCTAGGGACCGTTTTTGAAAACCTGCATTTTTTGTGCCCGAAAACGCCCTTTACGTACGGAAGGCTAAAACGGAGAAAAAAATCTCCGTTTTCAAAAATATCGGGATAAGTGTGGACGGGGACTAATACTTGTAAACGGTTAGCTCATTCCATACAACTAGGCAGGCGCGCTTTTTCTCTATGAAAGACGTTTTTCTCATTCATGCAATCTGTATTCAAAGTTTCTAAATTTCTTTGTCCTACCTCCTTCTTCGAAGTATCTTTGAAACGTGTCTAACGAAGAGATAAACAGCCATAGAACAAAAATCAATCGTAAAAAGCGTTATCAGCACGTCAAAGGTACGCTGCCAAGACCAGTCTGTGAGCATGCCCTGAAGTCTTTTTAACACCAAACTAACTAAAGGAAAAGAAGGCAAGAAAAGTATAGAGCTTAAACCGTTAAGATAGCAGGATGTGTTCAGTGTTCTGTCCTAAAACCTGTTTGGACCAGGAACTCGAAGGCAAAATCAATTAAGAATGTCCTGGAGTCAAAGAAAATAACCTAATATGTATTTGAACTCCATTTAAACCAAAGCTTAAGCTAGTTTAAAAGTTGTTTAGTTAATAAAGGTTTAATCCGACTCTATCCTTTCTGGAAAATAACCATAAACTGAAGCCATGAGAGCGAGGCTATCAACAAAAAATTGTTTACGCGAGACATTTTCAACGAACGAAACATCGTACTTTTGAACTACATGAAAGCATACTAGCCTATGTTTTTCCTTCGTAGCAAATCAAATAACAATACTAAATAGATTGAACAATGGTTAAGTCTTTTAACAGCAGTACATGAGAGGCTCATATGCAAACCGTCAGTTTACGCTCGCTCAAAACGCGACTCCATAAACTCGCGAAGTAAACGCTGAACGAAAAAATGTTATTAAACATTGTCTTGCAAGTCCACTTTTTACTTCCAAATCATTCAAAATCATGGAGTTTAGAAGTCCGTTTGTCCTTTCTAAGGTTTCATTCTCATTTATAATATTCATTTTTAGTCAGTTATATTGAACCAGAAGCTCCTTATGAGTTTCTGATTGAACTGAATACTGAGGCAACAAAAACGTTGGAGCTTCTTTTTTTTAGTGTTGTACCCACACCTTGTTATACCACATTAAAACCTTACCTTTTAGCTTCTTTTCTAATGAGTAGAAACTCGGTTTAGGATCCCTTACCGTAGAGAAAGGAGGATGGATGATTACAATCAGTCACTGTTGCGGTAAACAAATTTTCTTCCTCACAATTCAACACAACGTTAGTGACGACACAAAGGTACCAAACGTCAGCCGCAATTGCCGCTCGAGCTACTAACGCAAGAAAGCGATTTCGGCGGCGCTTTCGGCTCCATTAAATCCTACACCAATTGCTGAACATTTAAGGAGGAGTCGCCCAAAATGTGAATACAGTTACTGACAAGCAGGACATATGAGTAAGGAAAACAACATTAAGTAAATGCAATACGTTAAATAACGAATTAAACACACACGTCAATAAAATGAGTAAATAAAGCTGAAAGCGCGCGAACTTAATAAAATTGCGCGTGCAAAGACAACCTGAATCAACTGAAAGTAGTAGTAGTAATAATAATAATAATAATAATAATAATAATAATAATAATAATAATAATAATAATAATAATAATAATAATAATAATAATAATAATAATAATAACCCAGAACTAGAACCAGAACAGAACCTAGTTCTAGACATAAAACTGAAATATGAAAACCGTAGTGATCTCCGCTGTGGTTGTTTGGTGCGCTTGGGGTATGGTAGAAAACATCAAGAAAGTATTAGACAGCGCTACTGTGACAGAGATCCAAAAGAGGTATGCATGCTGGTATCTGCACGAAACCTCAGGGAGGTGCTTAGTGTAAGAACAGGATGATTTACGTGAGTGACTGATGCTCCAGGCCATACTTTGCGCCCGGCTGATGCACAAAAAGAACACCAGCAAAGACTGTGACAGAAGAGACAATATTAAAAATAATAATAATAATAATAATAATGATAATGATAATGATAATGATAATGATAATGATAATGATAATGATAATGATAATGATAATGATAATGATAATGATAATGATAATGATAATGATAATGATATATTTCTGGTCGATTTTTTGAAAACCAACCAAAAGGCAGGTTTCTTAGCTTACTAGCCCAAGAAGCTCCAAAATCACACTAACGAACGAAAAGGAAAGGAGAAAAAGAAACAGCGATGAGAAAAAAGCAATGGTTGCCCTCTTAGTTTTTATAATGTCTGCTTTGGTAACGGTAACGTTTTCTGAAATCCGGCTAGATTTATATAGCGCTGAAACTATATGACACATATTCTAAAGCGCTAATAAAAGCTGACAAATCACAAACAGTACACGTAGAGAAAATGAAAATAAAACACCGCAATTACTGTACACGAATTGGTTTATTGGGCAAATGCCAAACGAAATAATATAAATTAAGGATATGGCGGCGCCATTCAACCATTCAGTCAATCACTGCTATAAATGTCATCTCTCGAGGTGTAGTTCTGTGTTTATCGATGATAACACCTTTGCGTTTGAAGAATTTATGTTACCAAGAAATCTTCATAACCACTGCACTTTATCAAGCATTTTGCCGTTTTAGGGAAAGTCCTTGCTCCTTTGGTAAATTTATAGAGCCATGATCATAACTATATTGGTTTTGCCCCCTAATCATTTTTGCTCCTAGGGGCCGAGCTTTCCTCAGAGGCAGTGGAGTTGCTGATTGGCTGCTGTACCTTATAGTTCCATCTACTCTTAGTTCTTGTATTATACATTCTCACATATTTTTCATGCTCTGTTATTCTTCTAGCATTTGGAACGATCCTATTCTCGTTTGGTGGTGCGTCGACTTTTCCGACGATTCAAACGGACATGAGAAATGCATCCAGGTTTCCACTGTCGGTCTTCTGGGCATACATCGGCGTGATCTCCATGTATTTACCTGTGTCAGTGCTTGGCTTTCTAGCATATGGCAAGGATATAAGCCCTAATATTCTCGATAGTGTCGGGCACAACGACCACAACACATCTTCCATCACTCTGGATATCGTACTAGCATTAATAACAGTACACCTACTGTTTAGCTTCGTAATTGTGCTCAACCCGGTATCGCAGCAGTTTGAAGAACTCCTGAGTATACCACAGAGTAAGTAAAGCATATGAGACATCGAGAAGCCTCTCATTTTTCTTAGAGACAGTAGAAGCAGCGAGACGATAGAAAATTGTTTCCCGCGCGTGTGTAGTCAGAAACTGGACAGGGGCACCCAACGAGAACATAGTTCAAAACCACTAAAACATAGCATTGTTAAACGTATTTTGGTATTTAAACGGTAGATATAGGCATATTTTTATCCCCCCAAAATTGTTCATCTGTTCGGATTTCCTAGCTGAAAGTCTAGTGTTCCGAAAATTATAGGGATCAAAACTTACCTTTTCGAAAATTTCAGCCAGAAAAAAGGCTGCCGAAAATTCTAGGTGACCTTTTTAGGGTAAAAATTCGTTAAAAATAGGCATTTTTTCCATATTTTAGATGTTCGAAAATCCTAGGAGAAGCAGGCAAGCAAGAAATTTTACAACAAATGTTCCGAAAATTCTAGATCTCAAATCGTCTTCCGAACAGATATTTTCCCGAAAATTGTCGTTGGGTGCCCCTGACTGGACGGCGCTCGGGTTTGAGACTCCCTTATAGGTTAGGGTGAGGTTAGACGGGATGATTCGTAACAACGATTTTTAGCGCAGCACAGCTTAGCAATGTTGGACAATGCTGCAAAAATTCGAAACAATGTTGTAACACTGTGTCGTGCTAAAAATCGTCGTCAAGAATCGTCTCGTGTAACGTCCCCTTTAGGGATAGGGGAAATTTTAAAGGACGAAACGGAGAGCGCGAGGCAGAAAGTTTGTCTCCTCTCACCTCTATCTCCCTTTTTTGCCTCTCCCTCTCCTTTCCAAAGCTAACCCGTATGTTGTCTTTTTTGCAGGACACTCGAAAATATGTTTCATATTGGAAGTCATTCCCACTGCTTTTTTCCTTCCCCCTTTTTTAGAATGTTAGCTGTCTGTTCTTTGCGGTGGTTGTCTGTTTTATGTTGGAAAATCCGTGATCGGAAGAAACGTTGCCATGACCAGCTCTCTTCAGGCCGTAGTGGTAAAGAAGAACTAAAACATTGTAGAGTACAGTTTCTGGTTTTCCCAAACCCAGACCAGTTCGTCATTTAAAAAAGCAACCTACCAAAACTAAACCTAGTTCAATTCTTATTTTTAGCTCTTTTACATTCGAGAGGGAAACAAAACTAGTTAATTTTCCCGAAGGACTAGTCATTAAGGTAAAAACTACAAAAACGTTTAACAGAGAGTCTGAGGCCATGAGACGTCCTCGCAACTCATGTTCGAATACATTTAATTCCTTTTTTCTCATCCCTACAGGGTTCTGCTTCAAGCGATGCATCCTTCGCACAGTTCTTATGTGTTTCATCCTCGGTATTGGCGAACTGATTCCCAAGTTTGGTCCCATCTTATCTCTCATTGGAGGCTCCACAGTGACAGCATTAACATTTGTATTTCCTTGTCTGTTTTACTTACGAATTGAACGCAACATTCCACTGCATATCAAAGCTTTCCTTTATGAACTCATTGCGGTTGGGATTTTTGGTGGTGTTGCGTCAACCTACTCGGCGATAAATGACATTAGAAAAGCATTTTAGATAAGTAAGCCATTTAAACCCTGATCAGTTTCGGAGATACTTTCAGCGCTTCATTTCTCTCAACGAGTATTACTGTCTTTGAAAAGAAAAAAAGGAAAATGATAGAGATGCGATGGTGAATTTTGAGCCTGGTGAATACATGAGAAAGATGATTTTTTAGTCTTTGACACACACACTGACAGGGTGACTGAGACGGCTTGGACGAAAATGAACCTGAGTGAGTACTCCCAAAAGGCGGAGTTGAACGGAAACCGGTCGTTTCGCCAACACTGAGGTCGATTCGCCCACAGGATCTATTAAAGTTGTCTCAGTGACACTAAGTTTATACCAGTAATAGTATTGTATAAATAGGAGCAAAGCTTACCGATGACTCTCGCATGTTTAAACTTATTTTTGATTTTAACCTATTGAAGACCGAGCGACTTCTCGAAATTGTCACTTGGAAAAACGCCTATGAAGCAGTTAAGATCATGTCAGTGTCATCGAGGCGAATCGACCTCAGTGTAGGCGAAGCAACTTCTGGGCGAAACGACCGACATTCAATTTATAAAAAATTTAAGACAACACTTTTTTCAAGACGTAGAAGCCATTGCTCCAAATTCGTAGACTTGAACACATTAGAAAAAGTCAAATTTCTTTTTAACAACATTGATCTATATGTCTGTAAAAAAAAACTTGGCTTCTATGTTTATGAAGCATTTCAACTTAGAAAATTTTATTCCATGAAACAATAGCAAGGGAAATAGAGATTTCTAATCAGTATAGCTTTTAATTAAAGACTATCTGTGTGTTTATTTGATTCATTTTAAATATTATTAAATTTATAATTGTAATAGTTTAAAAGCAATACCATTTCTGTATATGGGAATGCTATTAAAATGGTATGTTATGTTAGGTTGAAGTGACAAACATCCTGAAAACTACTAGTAGGCGTAGAATTTCGATAATTATGTGCTTAGTATGCGCAATTTTGATAGAGATGTAATGGTGAATTTTGCGCCTGATGAATAAATGAGAAAGATTATTTTTCATACGCCAAGCAAGATGACTTTTATTATTGGTTTGCTAAAAAACGACCTTTCTTTCTTGCTTCAAATCGCTCCTAGTCACAGGTCTGTGAGATATAATACTGACCTCCCTCCTCCCTCCCATTCAAAGTTGTTCCTCCAAGTTTATGGTCTTGTATTGTTCTCAACTTTGACAAGGGGTGGAGGGGGGATCACAAGCACAAGATCGTGGACAGGCCATTTATGTCAAAATACGGTACAGTGTCTCATGTACTTTTGCAACTGGTTGTAGCTTTCAGTATCCTATTATTGATTATATCAAACCCAGGGGATTTAGATGGCAAATAACAATTATAACAGGAGCCCATAACCTGAGTCTGTACAAAGGCCTTGACCAACAGTTGGGTGGGAAGGGGAGAGTGGATCGAGGGAGTTCAAAGGATTTATGGTGACGAAAGGTGCTGGATTTAAAAGTCACGATTTGGGGGATTTATTTTTGATGAGAAAACTTGGGCAAGTTTCTTTTTGGGGGGTAGCTTGATTTTATGAATTTATGGGGGTATTGAGTTTTTTTCCTGTTTTTGGTCTATTAACTAAGATGCCACGTAAATGGTACCTGAGTTTTCAGAACAATATATTCCATGTGACCTTCTTCAATTGTCTTTACTTGTTGGAATAACCCGCGTTGCAGCCGGCCCACGAATTGTCAAACCAGTTGTATAGTTCTCTACGGTACAGAAGGTTTTGGAGTGTCTGCAACGCAGGATATACTTGGACCAATTTTGTTTATTAATATTTAATATAGACAATTTTCTTAATAATGACCGGTACCTGCACCAAGGATGTTTGCCTATGATACACATATCAGCGTAGACCATGAAGATGTTTCCACAATTGAATGCTTGTTAAGCGGGCAAGAGAAAGAAAAAAACATTTTCTTTTGGTCATGGTGAGCTCCTGCCACATTTTTTTGGTCAAAGATGGCCTAAAATCATAACTAAGTATTCTCAGTCACATCTTTTTTGATACTTGCAGAACTGTAATGGGAATTAAGATACATGACAAATGATTCTTGAGGAAAATCATGGAATGGGTTCCAAATGTGTCGCGGATCTACAATATCTGGTGATGGAAATGGGTCGGAGGAAATAAGCCTGGGAAATAAGGCATGATTAGAGGCTTGCTGTGACAACGAAAAGGTTGTCAAAGTTGAAATTCTTGTGGAAAGGTCAAGATCCTCAAACAAAACTAAGAAGTGCTTAGAACATGCGTTTTCTCCACAGCTACCTATGGCTGCGAGACGTGGACACTTGAAAAATCAACAATTAAAAAGAATTCTTAAACGCTTTTGAAATTAATTGCTACAGGAAATTCAGTTAAAAAATATCATGGACGGAGCATTGAACAAATAAGTCAATTAGGGAGGAACAGTGAAAATGGAATATTAATGGTTAGAGATCTTTATAAAGAAACAAAAGCAGAAGTATTTTGGCCATTTGAAAAGAAGTGAGGGCTTGGGAAAGATCATCTGGAAAGATCATCTTGAAGGGAAAGATAGGTGGGGAAAGAGAAAGAAAAGGACCCAGTAGGCAGTGATGGGTGATATCGACATGTCCCTAACAGAAGTTGCATGATTGGCAATTGACGGAAACTGTTCCCGTTGGGCTGTCAAGGATGCAACGTCCCCGGGGGGGGGGTACTTTAGGAATTTCTGGGTGGGGATGTGCCGCTGGGACCCTGGAACCCTTAACCTATACCAGAGCTAGTTCAGCTGAATTTTGCTACCCTATACTAGAGTAAACTCCCCAAATCCCCCCTATCCTAGAGTAGCTGTTTCCCTAATCTAGATAAAATCTTCACCCAACTGATCAGTTTCCTGAAAAATGATATCCTATTCTAGACCCAAACGCTCTGATTTATATACCCTATCCTAGAGTAAACTGCTTGAAAACCATACCCTCCACAGCGGCACATACCTATATAGCCCATATGTGGCAATGCCCCCCCTGGGGCAACGTCCTATGAATTGTATCTTAAGGAAAACAAAGCATGAGCGTTTTATGGTCAATTTTTGACAACAAAGGAGTTCATCCGTTTGAAAAAAGATGGCCCAATTTTTCAATTAAGTTGCAATCCGTTTCTATCCTGGCCATCGAGGAAAGTCAAAGTCATACACATGTATTTAAGGCTAGAAGTAGAATAATTTTAAGTAGAAGTGAACCATTTTTTCACTGAGGTTTACTTTCATTCCAATACGTTTAGTTCAGGGTCTTGACTTAGCTCGATCCTTTAAATAGCGATTTAACATAAGTAGATAACCGGCCTAGTCGTTTTTTACGAAATCTCGTTTCGCACGACTGGCCGGACAAACGCATGCATGCATATCCATAGACATGATATAGATTACACATTTTTATGCTCAATGGCTATTTCAAATGTTAACTTTGAAACAGGGCCACTGAAACAAATGTGCTGCCAAAGAGGTGCTATTTTCCTCCAGACGAAAAAGTAACGTAAGTTCCTACATTATGTACGCATGATATTATATTAATGTATACCTGCTGATCCCATGCAATCCCACGGCTTTTGACTCCAGATCCTAATGCTTCGGTCCTTAATCCTCTTTAATTTAATGAGCAGTTGTGAAAGACAAGCCTAAAAACCGGATTCGAACCCATGATCATCTCGCCGGTGTTACGAGTTTGAATCCCATTAGAGACTGCTAGCAGTCTCTCTTTTCTTCAGATTTATTAAGGGGAGTGCACGCCAGCGCGAGTGTTGAGCGGCGAAGCCGCGAGACGCGAGAAACGAGGGCGGCAGCCTGTCAGTTACGCGCGTGGTCATTTGCGTGTCTCGGGCGTTTTGCTGGACGGACCAAGAAAAAAGAGAGACTGCTCGTAGTCTAATCCCATTAAAGTCCGTCAACGTTTTTCCTTAGGACTTTGAGCTGACTAAATTACTGCGAGTATCTTTCCGTTTTTGCACGATTACTGCGAGTATCTTTCACGTGTTGTTTTCTAAACATTCAATGAAGTTTAAATTCTAATATGTAGACACTCGTACATGTACTATCCCCTTACAAAAGGTTCTGCCTTTTTTCTTTCCATATGGTCCCCAAGCCGATCTCCTGGGGCCGATTTACAACATGGAACCATTGAAACTGACCGGGTTTACTCAGCTCTCTATAATTCTTTTGAGAGAAAACAAACAGGTTTCAATAAAACCCATGAAATGTTAGCTGAGTACAACCGCCGCCTCCCCTCGGGCCATGATAGAAAAAGACCTTCCCGATTCAGTTTGAGGGTAGGGAGCGGCTGTACGCAGGCCAATGAAATGTCCATGTCGATATTCATGTTTTGAGCTTGGGCTACCTGTGATTCAGGCACCTTAGAAGCATTTCATACCGCAAGAAATTGCCTTGAAAACACGGGGATTTGGGGTATTAACGCAAATCGTGATGTAATGCCTGGGTTCGGTACGGTTAGCCAGCGTAGCAAGCTTTTCCGTTTGGTTTCGGAGCAAAGAAAGACCGTGGAACGGGATTTTCGGTTTTGGCCGTGCAAGAAGTGGTACGAGAGCCAAAAAAGGAAAGAGGCAGGGAGTTGAAGGGGAAGGAAGGAAGCCTTTCTTCCTCATCCCCTCACCTTTCTCTTACTCCTGTCATTTTTCGCGTGGAGTTGATTCTCGTTCCTTGGTTCTTTGCTCCGGAACCGCACTTAAACGCTTGCTACGCAGTTACGGTACGGTGTGTCAAGAACTGTTGGCTTACAGTTCGTTTATGAAAATTAGAACACAACTTTTTTCCATCGTTTGTAAACAACAACTTGAATACTTCACCAACTTCATTCAGGAGTGTCTCACATGCAAGCCGGAAGTATCGCGTTCCAGTTCTTCATAAACTTCGGATACCGTAACAAACCTGAACTCTACACTCAAATTAAAGCTTCTTGGACTATAAACCAAGATTTAAAAAAAAACTTGCACTGTCGGTTT